CCACGAAAACTCATTCAAAGTTTTACCATATTTCTTAAAGTGTTATATAACTTTTCCATTTATTACTGTCTGACTGACACAGCTACCATCCACTTAATTGAGTATATATGTGTGTCTACTTCGCTCAACTTACCTGTAGAGCAATCTACTTATGCATATTCCCTATCCGCTCCGTTCACAAGTACCCCCTCACCAGCAAAGGAAGTACAGCTGGGGGTGACCGACCGACGCCATCTTGCCTGACTCCAATTCATTTGCCGCAAAGCGCGGCCACTGCGTGTACATAGTAAAAATTCCCTGGTGTACGTGCGTCACACACAAGGAACGGTGAGCGTCAACCAGCGAAATGTCCCACCCATGGGACGTCGTTGCTAGGTAAAAGGGCGCCCTCTTTGTCCGCGCACGGAGCCCATACCGGCAGGTATTTCCCGCTAAGAGTTTTATAAAATAGCGCCCTCTGGCGCCCTACTCATAATACCCCGCAGCATGCGTGCCTCGTGAGCGTCCTCGTGAGTGTCCTCTTTTCTCTTAGCGGCAGGTTGGGTATGACGTGTGTAAAATAGCTCCTGTTTTTATCGTCATTTTACTACCCTTTTTCCGCTTAATAAGAGAAGTTTATTGAGTAAAAGAGTTAGTTTGTAGAGTTTCTCATCATCTTCTTGTTTTATTTGTTATATTTATTCAATTATTATGAAGCCTTTGGGGAGAACCGATCTGTCAGAAACCGGGGAGAATTACTCTTGTACGGGACGGACCAGATGTTTTCCGTTGTTCGGGGTCCTGGTGCCCCAGGTGTCTTCAGACATTTCCTCGGACACACCCCTGGGCCATTCTTCAAGGGAGAAGAACAAGACGAAGGATGATCGCCGATCATGCCATTCTTCTTCAGACTCTGACGGCTCTTCTGATCGGTCCCACCGGGGCAAACGCTCCCGTGGTGAGGACTCGATCTTGAGTACTGATTTCCTGCAGGCTTTTCAGTCAATCTCATCTACGCTATTGGCTCTTTATGGGTCGCCAGATGGGCCCCATTGGTGGCCCCCCTGAAGCCGCGAGCCACGCACCACAACCCTTAATCGTTGGTCTCGATCCAACAAAGGGACATACCGCACACAGATAGCCGTGCTCCGGAGACCCACCTGCAGTGAATGGTTCACAGTTGTCATTCATTGGTCACGGTTAGGTGGCCCAAGCACAACGAGATACATGTACATGTACAGGTACATGTTCATTTGTACATGTATACCACACATGGTTGCGTGCACCGGAGGCCAGGCCTGAGGCGAACGCTTCACATTTGCCGGCTGTGGGCCTGTTGGGTGGACCAGAGACAACAGGACCTACCGCACGCAGTTAGCTGTTCGCTGGGATCCCCACCCCTGTCTATTGTCTCCGAGGAAGTTGCCCATGCAGCCACCGCCGCGTGGTTCTTTACAACTCGCCCCTCTAGAAGGTTCTCGTTCACCGAAGTCAACTCGACCTTCGCAATCGGCTGATTCATCTGATGATGATGAATAACCAGACCAATTACAGCGGCTGTCCATCACAGAAACAGAACTCCGTTTTGTGTAGAGGGGCATAAAACGGGTACATAAATTACCCTCCACCGATGAGCCCCCTCCGCCCGATCATAAATCTTTCAAGCGCAGGACGGGCTTCACATCTAACACTGACAAAGTGTTCCCAAAGTTCCTTTGGATCAAGTGTGTGTGGAACACATCGACAACATTATGTCAACGGACAAATGGGCGTCTATTTCTCAGGTAGGAACAGGATTACTATCGTCGACCCACTTCGTTCTACTTATTCTTTGATCAAATTTGGGCGATTTATTGCACCGATCCCACTGCCGCAAACACTACCAGGATGAGGACTCGTTTTTTTTTAGCCAACTCATTGCAAGCCTTGCAATTGTTCTCGGCTTCATTGCTGATTTCATGGTTGGCCCGATGTGCCTATTGCCTGGCGGGCGCCGTTGATGAAACATGTCTGTGCATGTATTTTTGTTATTTTGATATTGATGTTTACATCCATAGTTGTCAATGACGACTGCTCAGATAAACAATCTAAGAAAGCCAACAGACCTGCGGTCAGACCAGCGCAGGTGACGATCAAAGCTAAGCAACTAACCATATCAATCTGCTTGTTTCATGGATTAGTCCCTGATTTCCGGTCTACTGCACGAGGGTTCTTGACCCCTGCACGTGGCAGACGAATACACTGGTGATGGAGACGGACGGGCTGCTTGATTACACATTCCGGCCATTTCCTCTTATCCCTCGGTTACTGAATCAACTGGAACAAAAGGATGACAAGGTTCTCCTCTTAACTCCCTGTTGGTCCCATTGATTGGTTCCCAAGGCTATAACCATTTCCGTTCACCAGGCAGTCAGTGGAACTTCGAGGATAACAATATTCTGTTCCAGTGCAGCTTGGGTTTCCTTCACCCGGCTCCGCAGGAATTTCTCCTGATGTGCTGGGTGCTGTCATGCAATCCCTGTTCAAGCTACAGCTTTTTACAAATACACATGTATGGCTTTTGCCGCTGGGGGGGGGGGGGGGGCCAATTGCTCGCCAAGGGGGACCCGGCCCCACTAGAGCCCCCCCCCCAGGCGACAGGCCTGCCTTTCACAACATTTTTTTTTATCACCATGACCCCACCATACCCAGGCGCGGATCCGGGGGGAGGGGGGGGGGGGGGGGGGGGGGGCACGTGCCGGCTCTGATATTGAACATCAGCCTGCAAACATTGCGTACTGGCCGTATGACACACCAATCTCCACTCAAGAAGCTTAGAAATAAACCGCGATCCCACCGTACGTACCCCATACGTACGTACCCCATACGTACGTATTACCCTACATATACATGTTTCGTTATTAGATTCATACGAATGTACCTATGATTTATTCTCTATGAACATGCAGCTTTATTGGGGGGCCCGCGACAAACACACGTTGTGCACTGCTCTTTGGACCACACCATTGGTCAAGGGTGTGTTTCAGTAAGAACAATTTGCCAGCATTTCCACGCGCTTTTAATTACAAATTGTACTTTCACGGAGTCAAAATCATTTCCTTGTTTTGAATTGACTTCTTTAACATCACGTCATCATATAATTTTCGTAAAGACCTTATTCCAGAAACGATGAAAAACACTGAAAAAAATTTAAACACCCCTGAAGGTCATGGATCCATCCATAAAATTTTATTTTTACGAAGAAAGTTGAGATCCAAAAGTTGGGTTTTTGACGTTACTACGCATTGCTGAAAATCAGCAGTTAATTGCCCAAAGGCAAGTTTTAGCACTCGAGACATGCTCTTGCAAGCTAGACGGAATGCAGGGAGTTGCTTTGTCAAGTGCAAGCGAGGTATTAAATTTGATCGTAGTTCGTCGGTGGCGATTGGGCCAGCGCGCATCCGTGCCGGCCGGGAGGTATGCACCAATTCCCGATGTTTATTTCTCAACGTCATCATCAACAATTATTTACTGTATTTTTTTACATAACAAAAAGACGAATCCACCTTCAAAATGTGTCGTACCATGTGGGAATTGCAATCATGGCGCTGAAAGGCTAGGCCCGATGTCTCTTATCTGTAAAGATCAGACGCATGTATACGAACTAGGCTGATTGTTTCACACAATTTGTCTTGCTGCGCCGCCGATCTGGTGATGGTTTATTTACAAATACATGTACTAGCCTCTATTCTTGAAATTGAAACTGGACTGAATTAAAAGAAAATTTCGTTAAAATGCATTTTACATCATGCAAAAAAAAGAGGGAGAAACTTGGAGGACCGCATGATTAATTTCTGTAGTCATGAGATAAAACTGAGCTGTGAAGTTACAATCTGCATGGAGGCCTTATTGCTCCTCTGTTTAGTTTGATTAAATTACACTAATTTTAAACTTGAATTCAATTGACATGTTCAAGCGGTTTGTTCTTGTTGATCAATTGAAAATTTCAACTTGAAACCAAAACATTAGAAAGCATCCTTGCAACAGTTTACAAACTGAGTTTTTACAATTCCTTTTTCCAAAATATAATGCACGAAAACATGTAGAAGAAAATACATGATATCAAGTGAAGAACAGAAGAAACTTAGAAGGCTTGTAAAAGCAAGATTATGTTTTAATCAATGAACAAAATGTTATAATCTTAAAACAATTTACTCAAATAACTCAGGGGAAAAGGGGCCAGGAATCCCCTCAAAATACACCACGGAGCATCTAGAATTCAAATTTCTAGATGCCGTAAGACATTCGTGCTCCGCGCTTCTATTAGTTTTTGTAGCAAATGCCCTAATGCATCGTTGCAAAAATAAAATGCAAGAAATTATAAAGACAAAAATACATGGTTTTCAACTCTCAAACACAGTAACTTAAAATCTGTAAAAGAAATAGTTTATTTAAAAAAATCCTTATATTATAATCTTTAAAACTTTTGCTCAAATAATTCAGGGGAAAGGAGCCAGGTATCGCCTCAGATTGCACCACAGAGCATCTAGAATCCAAAATTTCGCTCACGGATGCTCACGAGGCACGTATGCCACTGGGTATTATGGGTAGAGACACCAGAGGGCCCTTTTGTGTAAACTCTTAGCGTAAATACCTGCCGGTTTAGGGAATATGCATAAGTAGATTGCTCTACAGGTAAGTATTCCTTCATAGACCCTAACCACACTTCTGTGGGTTTTTTTTTTTTAATTTCTTCCTGTCCTTTCATCTTTGCTGTAGCCGAATTTTGTTGACTCACCAGCCAGGCTACTTAAGAAATAGTTTGACTAGCCTGCAGTTGTTTTAACTAGCATTTGGCTAGCAGGCTTCCGCTAATGTCGAACCCTGATCACACTTTTTCACAAGTTGTAAGAAATGAAACTCAAGTCTTCCAAATGTAACAAATGCAGGTTTGTTTTACTGTTCATCCTCTATACATTTGACTGGACATGTGAGTGACTTTATTACAACTCTGCTTATTTCATCTCTTTTTATGTTTTTAGGTTGAGTCTTTAGCCAAGGCAAGAGCTCGACAAATTGCCCAGGAGCTTGCAAGAGCTGAAGATAAGATGTTAAAACTACATCAGGCCCTAGTTGATAGAGAGAAATTATTGCAACAAGAGATGCAACGAGGGGATGTAGCCTCCCAGACTCTGGGTTAGTCAAGGTTCAGAGATGCCACTTTTCCAGTTTTGACCAGAATTCCTGTGTTTTTTAAATCTCACAAAATTCCTGACCGCCAGGAATTTTCTGGCCGTCAAAATAAACTGGAAAAAGAGAAGAAAACTGTGGAAATACGTCGATTTTTACCTTGTTTAGCGCTTTTGATTTAGTACATTTAGGTACACGCACGGCACAACGTTGTTCGTTGAAGTAGTCTTAAATACATTCTTTGTTGTTGCCGAGCCTGCAGGCGATACAGGCGGCCAACGTACTTGCACGCAGTATACAACGGCGCCTCATGCATGCCCGGGCGTGTTGTTTGATAAGCACACGTAGCATTCAGCCTGGAAATCAAGTCTAGTTATCGGTGGTTTCCGATCGCAGTGATATATGTGAATACAAAATACGCCAGGTCCCAACCATGGTTTCGTCGAACGCATCGCGTGGTGCAAAGATAACATTTAAGATTTTGGCTAACACCACTGTGAACTATTTAAGCATTCAATCCTAATGCAAAATTTCAACACACAAAACTTTGTTTTAATCCATTGCTATATCGCATTCTAACTACTCATTTAACCCGAATTAGCTCTGTGATTGTGTGGTTAAGATGTCTGCACTCGTAAGCAGGAGGTCATAGTGATAGGTTTCAGTTCCCCCAAGCAAGCTCAGGATTTATATCTTACAACAACAAAAATGAAGAGAAAACACACACACATTTAGTGCTTTAGAATTACATAGTAAAAGGTAAACCCAGATTAACAGTTACATGTACTAAGTGGTTCATTAATAAAGGCGTGACAGTTCTGCAAGTTGCCTTCATGAGGGCGTTCCTTTTTATCCCCCTGGCTGTAAATATTGTTGCTGTTCTGTGTTTCTAATTTAGCTACTCAGCAGATACAGATGGATGCTTTATATGACACACTGGAAGAGCAGAAAGCTGAGATACTGAAACTACATGATGCACTGAACAGGCTTGTGATACCAAAACCAGGTATGGCAGGTATGTGGCTAAGGATTTTATATGTGTGAAATTGGGTTGTGGTTGTGTTCCTGTAATACAGAGCAGAGATAATAAAGAGCATATCCATGGTACAATGAAAAAGGCTTTTTAATTTTTAAATGGATTTTTTTTTTTAAATATACCACAAATGTGTAAACAATCTTAATAGTCAGGCAGCTTAGGCCAGGTTTTGGAATGGATATGGACATTCCGGACAAAAGCGCCAAATTGTCCATAACATGCTCCTCATAGCCTTAGCTTTGAATTTTTGATAGGAACCGCCTTATCCAATTACATTATGGTGGCCATCTTGGATTTTTAAAGATGGAGGCCATTGAAAAAACTATATCTACCTATATCTCATCTTCTAAGCCACTTAGGATTCAAATCTTGGTGTCTTAATATACATTTTCAGGGTCAAGGAACGCAAGTGTACCATTTGGGATAGTGTCAAATAGTTGGTTTGTCCAAGTACACTATTGTGGCCATCTTATGTTTGAAAGATGGCCACCATTTAAAACATATCTACGAATACATGTATTGCATCTTTAAGCCACTCTGGATTTAAATCTTGGTGTCTAAACATATATTTTCAGGGTCAAGGAACGCAACTGAACCCTTTGGATTAGTGCAAAATGGTTAATTTTTCCAGATAGACCATCTTGGGTGGCCAAAACCAGGTATGGCAGGTATGTGGCCATCTTGGATTTAAAGATGGCCGTCACTAAAACCCTAGATCTACCAATACCTGTTCTTCTAAGCCACTGAGGATTAACATTTTGCCATGTAAACATACATTTTCAGGGTCAAGGAATACAACTACACCATTTAGGATAGTGTCAAATGGCTAGTTTGTACACATTCACTATTGTGGCCATCTTCGATTTTAAAGATGGCCGCCAGATAAGAATTGCATTTACTGATATCTCAGCTACTACGCCACATTGAAACACAGTCTAGGTGTCAAAACATACATTTTGAGGGTCAGGAAATACTACTCTTTTATTAAGAAGAGCCTCAGATAGTTCAGTTTCATTTACACACAGAAGAGACAAACTGAACATGAAATCTCTAAAAGAATACCGTTGATACACTGCAGTCACTGAACATACTGCGTGAAGTATATATAAAACAAAATTATGTGAGAATAACTGTCATCACTCACCACAGTTTACAGTTTAAAAGTGCTCGCCTTATTTCTCACAGTTGCAACCGTAGAGGTTAGTGCACTTGCAGTATACCTTCCAGCTGCATGCACGTCTTGCATCGCATTTGCTTTGACTCTTGCATCCACATTGAACTAGTTCACTGTAGGCTTTGGAGGCCACAGGTAACATCGCCCAGACAGAAACCCATTACTGTTTTTGTTCATGTTCGAGCGCCTGATTCTAAACGGGCTTGCCCCTGTTGCTGAAACATCCCTTATCCCTTAGCAACCCAGTTTGCAACATTGCAAGTCAACAACAAGCCAACGATTAATCTGACACAGCATGTCGAGGATGGGCTCCAAAAGGACAAATAAGTAGAGTATTTTTTTCGATTTTTCGGCCGCATAATGATACTGTAAACCAACACCGCCTCCTGAAAAAGATCAAGGAGTTGACCGAAATACCTGGCATTTACAGATCTTATCGGTCCCCTTCTCAAAGACAGATGCTTCCTTGTTGTTCTGAAAAAAAAAACCAAACAAACAAATTCCTGGCGACGGCAACAAAACGGCCTACCTCAAGGCAGTGTGCTAGCTCCGTTGCTGTATAACGTCTATACAAATCACCAACCGATAAGCCAGGACACTGAGCATTTCATCTACGCGGACAATGTTTGTGTTACATCTCAAGAGATTCCGTTTGAAGCCATAGAAGCAAAACTTACCTCAGCACTTGGCCGTCTCTATACTATTGAGCGCAATCACCTCCGTGCCAATCTCGCTAAGACCCAAGTCTGCTCGTTCCATCTCAGGAACGTAATAACCACGAAGCCAACCGACCACTTAACATCGAACGGTCCGGAACACCATTGGCCCATTGTAGGCATCCTGTCTACCTTGGAGTGACCCTCTATTGTATCCTGTCATTCAAGGAGCCCCTCAAAAAAATAACACAAATCCAGATTTAGTTCCCCTTAACAACATCAAACGGACATTGAACAAACTCCAAATGGGGAGTCAAACCATATACCCTAAGATCAACCACTTTGGCTCTGTGCTATTCTTGAGCACAGTATGCGTGCCCCGTCTGGGAGCTGAGAGATCAACCCATACCATAAAACCTGACCCAGCCTTAAACAACATGCAGTTTGATCACTGGATGCTTGAAACCCACCAACACAAGTAATTTGCACCTTCTTGCTGGCATTCCCCCTCCGGATAACCGAAGGGAAGTTGCCAGCCGAGCTAAGATATTTCCAAAGTGATAAATAATGAGCGTCACCTCCTCCAAGGGCGGCAAGCTTTGGCACAAAGGTTGAAGTCAAGAAAAGCTTCCTCAGCCATGTCCACTCCCTCTTAACATCCAGGGGAGAGGCCAGACTCCAACTCTGGAAGCAAAGACTGGGAAGCAACCGCCCCACCGATTTTCATGGCAATAACACCGGCGGGAAACCTTTCAACAGGTGCTACATCGACATGGGTTCAATGGAAAACTATCAACCGCTTGAGAACTAGGACTGGCAGATCACAGACCGCCTTAATCAAGTGGAGCTACAAAAGTGGATCAGTTGCATGTGGTTGTGGAGAGGCAGAGCATACCATATACCATGCCCTCGTCTGTTTGGGGCTCAATGAAAATGCGAAAAACTGTGTCAGCCGGTGGGAAACATATTGATTACTTTGAAGAAATGCAAAGAACAATCGAGAGTTCAGCCCCAACCTTCTGGAGTGGTTGTGTGTTGTTCTCTGCTCACAATCACTGGTGCACCTTATTCCAGCCTGATACACTACTCGCTTTGTGTGCTGCATTGTTGGGTTTTAATGGCTTTTTAATACATGATTTCTGGTTTCCCTCCACATTTTAAATGGTAAAATAATGTTCTTGTACTTATTTCTAGTAATATGTTTTCATGTTGGTAATCATACACTCGCTTAGTTTCTGATTGCTTAGTGTATGACTGATTTCCTGTCTGTTTATGAAGGTGTGTTTCTTTGTCGGCTTCCTGTTATAGTCTGTCGTTTCCTTGTTGGGGTGTCTGTCTGTTTGTTTTGGTCTGTTTGTTTGATTGTCTTTCCTGTTTTGGTCGTTTGTCATTTGCTGGTTGTTTGTTTGTTTGATGGGGGTTGTGGGGGTGTTTGTTTGTTTGTTTGTTTGCTTGCTTTTGTTTATTTGTGCGTCCTATAGTTGAACTTTGTACGGTTGGTGTTTGTCATGTTGTTTTTCTACCCGGCGTAAATTAAGTACATGTTTTAAAGTGTTTTTGACTGTAGGCTATAATAACATTTTTAAAATTTTAACTGTCAAGAATCCATTTTATCTTGTAATATAACTGGCCATATTTGAATATTAACGTTTACTTTTTCTAACCTCAGTTACATATTTATTCGAATAAGTTAATTATTGGTTTTATAGTTTATGTGATGTATTTTGTCATTTTTTATGTAGTTTAAATAACGAATCCAACCCGTTTATGGTTGCTAATAAAATGATCCTTACCTTACTGAATCCTGGGTTGGAGGAAGCCAGAGACAGTGAGGGCCAGAGATTTCTACCCGCCAAGGTTCAAAGATGGCATTGACCCAGTAAACAGGACGGTATTGGGCCAATACCGGCTTATTATGGGTTTGTTCTGGCAGTACCCATACAGTTTAAACGGTGCAATACCAGAAGTAGGCTAATGTTGGCTTGATTGCGGCAAAACGGTTAGGTGTTGACGGTACAGAGTCAGAATTGGTCCAGTGCTGGCCCTATTATGGCAAACGGTAACAATTCAGAGCCTGCATCGGGCAAGTTATAGTCTTTTTAAGGCAAACCATGTTCAGCAAGACGGCGCACAGCCTGAAGCGGGCCATTGCAAGTCCTCTTACGACAAACCATGACAAAAAGACGGTATTATGACCTGAATCGGGCCAGTGTTGGTCCCTTTACGGGAAATCATAACGGCAAGACGGTACACCACCTGAATTGGGCCGTGCCAGCCCTTTTACGGAAAACCATAATGGCAAGGAGGTACATAGTCTGAATCGGGCCAGTACCAGCCCTATTAAGTCAAACCACAACGGCAAGACGGCACCATGGGCGTCGCTAGGATTTTTTCTAGAGGGGGGGGGGGGCAAAACATACTTTTCCCAAACAATTCCTGTATTTCGCAACATATTCCGAATTTCTCAGTTTTAGAGGGGGGCAGGGACATTTTGCCCCCCAAAAAAATCATTAAATTTACACCACTATGACTTCGCGTCTCTTTTTCTTTTTTTTTTTTAAAATTCTTTTTCTTCCTTTTTTTTTTTTTTTTTTTTTTTTGGTGGCTTTTCCAGGGGGGGGGGGCGCCCAGCGCCCCCCCTTGCCCCCCCCCCTCGCGACGCCCATGGACGGCACATTGCCTGAATCGGGCCAGTGCTGGTCCTTTTACGGCAAACCAAAATGGTCAGCCTTAAATGGGCCAGTGCTGGTCTTTTACGGCAAACCAAATGGCCGCCGTAAAGTATCTGGACAAACTTACCATATGACACAATCCCAAATAGTACAGTTGAATTCCTTGACCCTGAAAATGTGTCGTTAGACACCAAAATTGTATTCCTAGTGGTTTAGAAGATGATATATTGGAAGATATAGGTTTTCAATGGCGGCCCTCTTTAAAATCCAAGATGGCCACCGCAAGGTATCCGGACAAATAAACCATTTGGCACTAACCAAAATGGTTCAGTTGCGTTCCTTGACCCTGAAAAATATATGTTTAGTAAAGCAGACTTTACAGAAGGCGGGCGGGGGTTGATAAGAGTTATTGATAGTGTTAACATCAAGACTAGAACTTTTCAGAGTTACGTCAGTTGGGCTCTGAAGGACTGTTGA